ACGGAGAAACATCAACCTGGAGAAAGATGATTCATACTGAAGGTATGTGACCACGTCAAAAATAGCAAATCATGTCTTTTGTCCAAAGTCCTGTCCAATTCAAGTCTTTGGACTTACGTACACTAGAAACATAGTAAATAAAAGCTATTTTGAAGTAGGTAAGTATTCATATGATACTAACAATTTTAGCAGAACCTTTGCAGCTAGGAGTCAACGTTCCCTTGAAATGTGAAACATCTTGTAGACAATCAGACTGATTTCTAAACTGCTCTGGATTAAATGGATGACTAAGAACCTACGCAGACAGACAAATAAAAAAAAAAATTCTTCCAAAGCTGTGAAACACAGATTAAGAGAATTTCATGGATATTACTATTATATCTGAAGGCAGAAATACAAACAAAAGGTTTCTGACGAAATCTGCGTTAACTGAGGAGAGATTTAAGAATAATGGCACATAATTTGGACCAGATTAACTGTCTGACTTCAACCAGGCTCTGGTTTTGGATCAAAATCCACGACGCAGGCATTTTTGAAGCTTGTCTAGTCATACGCGTTATGACTCTGGCTAACCTAATCATTTACGCAACTCAACTCTGGTTAGAAGCCACACAGTGGTCGACGCGAGTGGCAGAGGGGCATAAAAGAGGGAACTGAGAGCCTATATTTGTACCTTTGTGTCAAAAACAAGACAAAGCCACAAGTTTGAATCATTTCAATATGAACATCTGGTGCAGTGATGTGAGGAGGACATTGTGGTCTGCACAGAGAAAGAAAAAAGATAAAACGTCGTCACCATATTACCATTATATCCAAACCTGCAGAGGTGGGCTACACACTGGACAGTTGTCCAGTCCATCACAGAGAGGCCATTCACACCACATTCACACCTATGGTCAATGAAGGGGGAACAAATAACTTGATCCCTGCAAGGAGATGATGCAAACTCCATATAGATAGACAGGGAATCAAACCAGCAAACGTGTCATCTTCACCAGCCACTCTGCCACCACATAGCCATTCTTTGAATACCAAACTATTTACTTTGGCAAAATAGTCAGAAGTAATAGTGAGTTTTTGATTATCAAACACATACTGTACGTACGCTGCCAAACTGGTCAGAACATTTTTTTAAATAAATTTAAATGAATAAAATATAAGGAAACGCAGCTCACGGCCTGACAAATGATGAAAGACACGCCTGAGAGACATGTCCTCACATGTTGTAGAATTAATTACACTTTATGGAATGATAAGATCAGAAGTCTTAATTGTTTTTGACTTGAATCTGAGGAGTGAACTGAAGGCTCAGGTCTGATGTAAAAGACCAGAGTCGGTGGAAGGAGCTCCTGTGAACACAGAGCTCTTTGTACAGCGGCTCATTAGACAAAACGACATTCTGTACATTTTCTCAGGTGTTTATAGTTCTTCAACTGCCTCCAACACTTTGTGGCATTCTGAGCGGTGTTTAATTTAACAACCTGAGCGTGTAATGTTTATAATCAGTGTGTCATTAAAAAAACAGTTGGTGAATTAATGAAATCTCCTGATTTATTCACTCAAACCACAGGTTATACAACTCTGATGTGATAAGAAGTCTAATCAACCGTGTTGTCGTGCTTCCACCGCACGAAACAAATGTGTGAACACAGAAGTTCACCTTTTCCCTCAGGTAGTTGTTTGGTTGCCACGACAACCTCCCACTGTTTTACAGCTTGCGGTTGATATCAGCAATGGAAAATAACTATGGTAACAGCCGTCATGAAGCAACAGGTAAAGGTATGACAGCGTGGCAGTGGCAGTTTAAAATACAGGATGACGAGGAGGAATCCCATGTTGATACATAAACGGAATCCCGGCGCCTGGCAACCGAGGGAAACCCTGGAGCGTCACATCAGGACTCTGATCTCGGCGTGACGTCAAGGCCGGTCGTTCCCCTCTCAGGCATGCACTGTGCCCCTGTAATGTGCACCAACTGACTGTCACTCACACGTTGTGAAACACATGTAGCTGATGAGTCACTTTAAGGCAGTAAGTCGAAAAAAAAGGTATTTAACTATAGGTGCAGCCACAGGATTAGACTTCCTGCCACAGACTGAGCTCCACTGGTGGAGAAACACCAGTGGAGCTCAGTGTGTGGTCCAGCCGGGCTCTACAGCAGGGTATTCCTCAAGGGGAGAGACATTTCCATCCTCTTGTGCAGACCTTACAACAACATTGGTTTCAGGAGTATATAGCTGAGTGTTCAACACGCCGGCCTTGAGCTGCTGTTGTAATCTCAGTGGGAGTGTCTCCAGCCCACGTACCAGATAGGGTGGTAAGACATCAGAGTGGCAGTGCGTGACAGTGGGTCATATAGACTCCTCTGAGTCCTGACATCAGTCACCCTACAGGCTGTATCACACGGTCAAAGAGCACTTTGAGGAAAAAGTGTTTTACACTGCCTTTACCTCGGAAACTGGCTCATGAGTTCAAAGTCTGAAAGATCAGCAGGTACAGGAGAACACGTACGACCCCTCATAATGCATCAGAACAGTCTCACACACACATACACACACACATACACTGGTCAAATGTCAATAAAAAAATATATAAAATAATAACTCAAAAATGGCACTCAAAATGAATGTAAAATCACATTTTTGTCTAACATTATTATTTATATGTTTATTCTTGAATTCTCAGACCTGATTGGATGGTTCAGTGGGCCAGATTTGGCCTGCAGGCCGCCAGTTGATGATCACTGTTATAACATATCTCTAACGTCTGATAAATCTGCAAAACGGGCCGCCAGTTGATGATCACTGTTGTACGTGTTATAACATATCTCTAACGTCTGATGCTAAATCTGCAAAACATTTATAATAATCTGAATAACAAAGACAAAAAAAAAAGAAGAAGGAAGTTTTTCTTGTTAGTATAAAAGACTCGTCCTTTACCACCGTCACTGAAAAGTCTTTTTATGTCCTGCTACAAAAAAACATCCAAATAAATACTGCTTGAGGCAGATGTGTAAAACAAGCGTTTGTAGTACTGTCCTGTAGTACAATAGAGGCTAATATCTGTCTGTCCTCTTTGTGTGAGCGCAGCACACCTGCTTCTCAGATGCAGGTTCAAAGGCCTGGAGGACCTTTCACTAACCTTATGTTGCTGCTCAAAGACAGACAAGTGCACTCTCCGTGATGACAACTGCAGACTTTCAGCGGTGCCACACTGGACAAAGCTCTGCTCAACATCCGTCGAACGACTGTGTTGTGAAGCCCGGTGGAGCAAAGTTCCATCTGAATGTTATCTGGACAGCACCAGCTGCAATAAACATTGACACATTCATTTAAAAACCACTAATTCACTCTGATTATCCACCAGAACGCCTTTTGGTTTTTCTCCCTGCTACTGAAAACATTCGTGTTTTCCTTTCTCTCGCTCCTCTGGACACTTGATATGCCTTGGACTGCGGCCGAAGATTTTTTTTTTTTTTTGCTGTCTTAATGTCGGCCAGTTGCACCAAAACGGTATTTTAGCACAAGTGCATGGCAACAGCAAAACAAAGACACACAAGAGGGATTCTTTGGCCGACCACTTCTTGAATTACTGATCATGTAAAAACCCGCTGTGGCTCCCAGATTGCAAACATCAGTTCTTGGAGCCTGCATGCAAACCATTCTCTAAATAGGCCTGTCTATTTCTGTTGGGCTGTGGGGGGAAACATGTGTTTGACATCAGTGTCACTCGCTAGATGTTTAACAGCAGAGCCTTATTGTCCCCTTACGGCAAACCCCACTCAGATTAACAGTTGATGTCTGCCTTCTGAGAGCGGCGGTAATTACAGCCCAATCAATGAGCTCACGTTTGAGGACGGCCCTGCTCCGCCAGCGTCTTCGGT